TTGTGATGAAACATTAAAAAGTTATAAATCACAAAAATTAAATTTTTGGGTGGCGGATTTTTTTTGCCGTGGAGAGTATTTTATTAAGAATTATATATATTATATATGATCCGTTTAATTACTTCTAAAAGAGTAGAAGTTCAACATTTTGACTTTGATAGGAAAGAAAAGTGAAACCATTAACTGATGTAAAACCAAAGAACATTTTCTGGATTACGTTAAGAGACCTAAGGGTTCCTGAAACCGTCACGTATCTAATTTACACGCAAACGCGCATAGAACGCATTTGGAAGTCGCCGTTTAATTTCAAAGACATGGGAGTGGAATGTGCAAACGTCAATTAACATGTAAGAGTAACTGAATTGTCCTTCCTCATTGTGCCTATAATGGCCCGTTAGATTGGCCGCTTCCGAAACAACCCACTCGTTCTTCAACACGGGCCCATTACATTTTTGTTTCGCACACCAAAAATCAAACATGGACTTGGCAATAAGACATCTAGAAATAAAATTGTTCCATTTTCCATTTTTGTCTTAAGATGAGATAAAAAGTAAAAAGAGATAGATTTCTGCACAATATTGCATTAATAGGCGCCGTTTAACATTTTTCAAAAACTAATAATGTCAAACATCCTGTAGATTTAATCAGAAAATCAACTGAAAACCGTAAGGCATAATTAAATCTATAATCGTGGGATGCCACTAAATTAGATTGGCTATTTTAAAACTCGCGATCTATATAGGTAGATACATAGTTTGAAAAATAAATTTATGTAAAAAAAATATTTATGCTACCAAATAGGTAAAAAAGTCTCACATTCACAACATTTATGGGAATTTCCACTAAAAATTTGTAAAAATAATTTATAGGTAGGTACACATTATGGTCAGTAAATCAGATTTGAATTTAGTCCTTCTTTTCGTAGGATCCTTTTAAATTATTTCAAAATCTAAAACTATCTAAAACACTGCGTGAAAGCAAATATCTCCATCTCTACTATAAATAACAATAATAATGATTTACACTTTTTTTTTTGTTTATGCGTATGTGATTCCGTAAGTTTGATGAGCTGAAAACTAAATTTAAGATTACTATCGAGAAAACGTTGGCACAAGTAAATCTGGTTACCTAAATAAAAAGAAAACAGACAACAGAAACAATAAATAATCATTGCTTCCAAACCAACCAAAATTTTCGCTACTGTTCTATAATACCGTGTTGCATGAAATATATAACTATGGATTAACTATGGCGGAAATTATGTTTGAAACATTTCGTATTCATTACGGCCTAATCGACACTATCATTTTCAACACACTTTCAATGTTCGATAATTAGAATGTGCAGTACGCGCGATATAAAAGCAATTTACTTCTGCCGCATTCTACGTGAATTATTGTGTTTAAAATAAATGAAAGTTTAGTACGGCGAACGCATATAAATGCGACAAGTAAAATAGAGGATTTTTTTGGTTACTATGACAATTGGCTTACCATTTACGTCTGCCGAAAGATTTGTTTGCTACTGTTGAAACGAAACGATAGGTCGATAGTAAAAAGCTATAACGTAAAACAGCTTTATTGGCAAATAAAACATTTTAAAGGGAGGAATCTGAATATGAAGAAAGTCAATTTATATTCAAAAGCGCACTTTATCGTATCCGTCTGTCTGGTCGTAGACTGTTACAGGTGACCATCAAGATATATAAAAATTAGAGTCATGTTATTGCCACAAAAATTAAACACAGAAAACAAATAAAAAAATAAATATCGTAAAAACAGGCATTATGAAACATCCTGGGAAAAAACCAGCGTTAATCCAAAGAAACAATAGAAATTTGTAAATAATATTTCTCAAACTTAAAAAAGACAAACCATTTTTTAAAGTTTAGAAACAAGGAACAACAAACTTAGTGATGCTTGTCAAATTGCCAAAGAATTAAATATTATTCTCAAGTTATTTATGCTATTGCCTTGTAATAATTGAAAATAAAGACCAAATGAACCTGAACGGGCAGCTAATAAATAATCTTACACTAAATCAGTAGATTTAGTACAACTTTCAAGTCCCATAACAAAACTAAAAGAGAAACTAAATGCTATTGATATTTCTGTACTTGGAGCCTTTACCTTTTCTGAATGACGAATTATTTTCCTTATAGATTTTTGAGCAGGTTTTTGCTTTATACTAGAATTAAACAATTCTTTGTCTGTAAGAAATATTCTCAGTCGGCTGTCTAATTTTTATCTTAGCTATATGAATAACCTCTTAAATTGTGGATTAGGATTTCTACGGCAATAAAATCCATTCAAGTACGAGTCTTATTACGCTCATATCTTTATTCGTAAATGAAGACTGAAAAAGCGACGCGACTTCGGCCGGCAAAAAGAATACTTCCAGAATATCCAGAAATCGTTCTTAGAATCAAGTTCCGATTTCTAACAATTACAGTAATTTTTTTCGTAAATAAAGAGAAAAAGAAAGGGAGTAGAAAGCATCCCAAAATTTTTCTTACTTGTATTAAATAAATCTACACCAAGATCTTCTCTAAATTGCGCAAATCGACGTCATATTAAAAATAGTCATGACACACGTGATTTTACACCTCGCCTATATTTATTTAAAATGTTTATAGGTATATGTCGTTGGCGCATATTTATAACAAAAACAACACCAATAGTCAAAAATATTTTTGTACATTTGTCAACAATAGAATTTTACATATATAAACATATAAATCGTCAAATATCAAAAATAATGAGAACTTTATCATTCAATCGATCTCAATTACAATAGCCCCTACGAATTTGTGGTCAACGCACACAGCCCTTGAATGATTCATTAACTGCCGAGTTCACTGTACTTCCAAAAAAAATAAAAATGGAATATAATCGATACAAGCAATCATATTGTGGAAAGTGTTTTCGTGAGAAACTGTGACAAATAATTAATTTATATAGAACGACTCGAAAAATATGTAATTGCAAAAACAAGTATAACGCATGAAAAGACCTTTAGTTAAAGCAAAAATGAATGATTTTAAGCAGAAACAAGGAAATACAAAAGAAAGTTGGAAATAAAAACAAAGAAAATTATAATTAAAGAATCTGCATAAAATTTATACTCGGAATAAAATTTCGAAGGTAGGCGAATAGGTTATGTTCTCGTTAACTTTTGTTTACGATATGAGGGGATCGGCGGGGGGATGTGTTATTCCTAAAATTGCGAAATAATTGTTTCGTTCGAGACACGCGCTGGAAGCAAAGCCATTGATCGTTCCACAGGAAGTGTGACTCAGCCATAATTTATTTAATCACATTAAAATGTCTCTCCATATCGAAAAGAATTCGAGCTGGGGTAAACTTGCTTGTTTTTACATAGGGGGATTTTCGTGCCGGCGCTTAGTTAAACCGTCACGCGCAACATTGTCCCAAACCGCAAAATATTGTGTTATAAACGAAGACCCAACAGTCGGGGTAAAAATTTTCTTAACATTGAAATTCTTTATTTTTATCAGATACACCAACTGTTAGTTACATTAAAAACATACAATAAAATATAAAATATTTACTGTAAGGCACAGAACGCTGTTTGTGAGGTATACTATTTTACATAAAGACTATCCGAATGCGAATAGATAAGCCGAAAGTTCTCTCATAGGCTACGCATCAGGGTGGAGGTTGGATCTATTAGGGCTCTTTTTTTCTTACGTCACCACCGCAAAAGAGAACTAATGTAATTAATTACGATATCAAACAAGTTAATAATGACCTGAATGTTAAAATACATCTAGGACTACATACCTCTGTGGCCATCGATGCTGACAGAAAAATAATTTATATTTATATATATTAATATATCTTTAGAAACACAAGAAAGTTTCTATTTTTACTAATTTATTATAAAATAACTAATTCTATTCTAATAACTAACTCCTTACTGTTTTCTCAATACGAGGAAAATAATTGTCGGATGTATTAATTTTCTCGAAGAACTGAGCAATCTGAAACCGTTATTGTATTTAAGGAATAAGTAACCGCTTCAATCAAGTTTAATGTGTGCTTCATACATACAGTGCCTACGTTACGTACAATTTTCAGTAACACTTTTTGATATGTATGCTTTTGAAAAGCAAAATAAAAGAATATCGCGAAAGTCAGTAACCACAGTTCATTTTCTGCACAGAATACAGAGACGCGGTTGAAGGTATTAATATTCATTAAAATTACACTATTTCATATCTTCTTTATTTTATTGCCTCAATTTTTGGCAATAACATTCGTGTTTCAACTGGAAACAGGAATAGTTTTGAATTGTTTATTTAGTTGATTGTATGAGAAACATAGATGTTGTTATTAATTCATTTAGACTTTAGAATAATAATTTTGAAACTACGTGATATACAGTTCGATATAAAATACCAGTCAACTGGAAGCCATGTTTTAACAAAAAAATTTATAGAATTTGAAATACTATTTTTAAAAATGTTTACATATTTTAATACAAGGATACAAGTATTGTCTGACATATTGAACCTTTCAAATGAAGTACGACTCGACTCCTCATTGGGACATTTTTATAGGGAAAGTTTTTTTTCTAAAAGAGGTAGACGTCTGGTGAAACTAATGGATTGTTAGATATCATTGGAAAAATCGTTTTGTAAACTGGACACCATGTATGATTCAAAAGAACCTAACCAAAAATGGATCAAAGATATTCACAAAAGAATCGCAAAACGATTACAATATACCAGATATCTATCTAAATATCTATGGTTTTTACAACTATATTTTTTATGACAACTAAGCCTCAGAAACATATTCATTATAGTCTATTTTCTTTAGAAGTGTTCAATTCGTCGATCCTGTTACAATACAAAAATCTAGACACGAAAATTTTCACCATATCAGTGTATACGCAACACAAGCTTCAAGTTATCGACTGTAGGGGAAGATTAGAACCACTTAATAGAGAAACTCAAAACCCTGAAATGTACTTACGCTTCGGCCTCCGCTTCCTTCTCTTTCTCTTCCTGGACAGTGACAGTAGTGGGCGGAGGAGGCAAATCTTCCATCGGCAAAGTATCTTCCGGAGGAGTTGGGGGAGTCTTGTCGAATTCCGCAATAGGCGCTTGCGAATTACATTCTGGCATCGGTGATACCGAATTGCTGTCCATTTTTTTTTAGTATCGCAACTTTTCCGATACCACTTTTAACACGATAATTTCGGGCCACGATACACGCGAGAACGATAGTTAGTCGGGCGGAACTTCTACAGCAAGCACGATAATTTATTGAATAAAAACACCGGGGTCACAATATTTTCTTTTATCCACCGAATTCAACGCGTTTACTCCGTTTTTGTTCGTTTGTTTTCGAAACAGTCGAACGATGATGGCCAAGCGGGAGATCTCAGTCAGTGGTTGAAGCGTCGCCTGTAAAAAAAGTAAAAGTAAAGTCGGCTTTTTTGTTTTCGTGAAGCATCGCAGAGAGGGTACAGAATTTATAATTAAGTTCCACCCGTAAATGCAGGACCACCAACCCGTGAAATTCTGTTACGATGTCTGAACTCGACACGAATCGTGGTTCTCGGTCGTAATCGTCTCTACGCGCAGTGTGTTGCCGATGGAATTCAATATCAAGTCAAAAACTTAATTAATACGTTCGCCGTAAACGAAAGTGCGCGAATTCGCGATAGTTGTGCCTTTAGTTTGGAAATTGCCTCAGGTTATAAACGAATTTGTCAATTTATTTCTGCTCGACAGATAAGATAAATCGTTGTAGTGTCAGTCGGGATAAGAAAAAGAAACAAACCATTAAAAAGGCTTGAGGCATTACATTTATACAAATACAAACTAATGTCGAAAATATGTTATGGGGTGCGGCACGTATGTCGTAAACAAATGAAAGAAAGAAATGATTAAGCAAACACTCGACAAAAACAAATAATATTTTGAATATTGAGAACACGTACAGTTTGGGAATTCTCGTTGGTGAAAACTTGGACTAGATGATGGAAGTAAATGTCGGTTCGAGTTAAAAGCGTTGTGTAGTCCTAACCTCAACCTCAGACAGCACACGTGTTTACTATACTTCTGTAGAAGACTCAAATGAAGAAATTCAAAAAAAGAAAAAAAAACAAACGAAGTTATCACATTTGAGACGAGAAAGATGGCAAAGTAATCTTGTAATATAAGGAAAGATTGAAAGTACGAGGTTACATTTAAGAATATATGTGTAGGAAGTTAGCATCACCACTTGCAATTTGCTTGTTTGCTTGAAGTGCAGGTTTGAATGGTGATAACTTCCACATGAAGTTGGCATTACCAGGATACAATGTTGGTAGGCAACACGATTGCCAACGTTCGATAAAGAATAAAAAGAAAGAGAAGAGAGTTTCAATTTGCTTTGAATAATTTATTAATAAAACCGTTTTATTTTTACGTTACAACAACTCAGGCAACTCAAAACAGGATACGCAGAATGTAAATTTGGAAATCAGAAGTTTACAACGATTTGAAGAATAGAGATTTTTAGACTATAATGTCGTACTAAGGAACATCTAACACGGACTTAGGAACTTAGACCACAACAAGGGCAGAAATAAATCCGTGCTCTTCATTCAATGCTTTGGACGCAAAAATAAAATTGATGGATTAGAATTCTGACAACTGACAGCAAGAAAACAAGATCAAAAAAAGACTGCATGTACTAGAAATCGATTTTCTGAGAAGAGAGTGTAAAACTTCGAGAAAGGAAGATATGGCAACAAGTATCTGGTATAGGCATATTCGGAGGGTTCAAGACCAGTGATAACATGGGAAAAATGAATTAAAAGGACAATATTTTCGGGCAGATTAGAGGAAAATTTAGTCAAATTTCACAAAAGAACTTAAATGAGACCTTAAAAATATTTTTGGATATTATCTATCAGTTCCATGAAACTAGTAATAGTAACAGTAAACTAGTGATAAAATCAATCTTTATACTTTGTCTTCATTTCCATCAAACCATGCGTTTAGTAACATCTAACATCTTGTCTGTTCTCGAAGCGAAAAATCTGATGCCTATACACTATCGAGTCACATGACCTTTTAATTATAAAGTTGAGCTTCGATTATAAAAGTTTGTACCTATTAAGCAATGCAATTAGATTTCTTCGACAGTGTTACAATTAAAAGCTAGTTTTCTTCTGCATTTTCGAATAAGATTCACGCCACCTACGAAGTTCCGTAATTTCCGGATAGTACAGAACAAATAAATCATTGAAGCTACGCCCTCGTTGGAGTTTATTGAGAAATATACGACCATACTAAAATCCAATTCCAAGCACGAGAGGGCGAAAGAGCACGCTTACGTTGTTCTTTTTATTCCGCTACATACTAGAAAATCACATAAATAATTTGGATGATGCAAATGTATTCTACAACAGGTTGAATAAGTTTCATTGAACAAAACTAACAAAACTTTTCAGTTCCTCATTTTTTATGTAAATGTCGACTCAAATTATTGCTACTAAAATGTTTTACCCAAGGATGCTAAACCAAAAAGAAAAGTTCAATCGACCATTTATTTCCATAAGTTTGTATATGTAGATAATACAGTTAGCCTTTTGGTACTGTTGTTTTGACTCTGAATGCAATAATAATAACAGGTATTATAGAAAAATGTAAGTAATGCCAATTTTTTGGAATGAGGGACGTAGTAGCTCACACATCCAGTAGATTTTACCCACAGTTCAGGTATTTTAACATTTGTGAGTTCTGATGATCATATTTGTGCTGTTTAAGAACAGTATATTCAAAAACGACTGGTCCTTGGAGACTAGCAATCTTTTATATATTTAGTATTTATTTTTTTTATCGTCAAGTGTTTAATCTGTCAGGAGTCCCCATGTAATCTAACTTAAAAAATGCAATATTCTGCATAGATTAGTTACATATATTTGTACTAGAACCTATTAGATAAGCTGTGTGCTATAAATTTTAAGTATCAAATTCTCAAAAAAAATCCAGGAAAGGAATCTTGATATATGGTGGAGGATCAATTTTGAATTATTTTTAAAGAGGCAGGACTAACTGTCTAGAGATTGACATTTCCAAATTTCGAAATTTATACAGTAAAAAAAAGGTACCCAGTATACTTTTTGATTCGAAAATCACAAAAATTCATTAAACCCAAGTCGTTTGAAAATATTTGAAGATTTCTTAGCATGCTGATTTTTCAATAACAAATATTTCCTAAACCATTTGGAAATCAAATAGGTCGGTTTAATGAAAGTTACGTCTGCTTTTAAAACTAAATCTTGTATAATGCAAAAGTCAATAATCTAAAAATTCCCTGAAGTATAAAGAACTTTTGTATTTATTACAGGTTTTGAGAAAAGTATATGGGTCACCTTATGTGAAACACCCTGTACGTAATTATAGGAAAAGTAAATCTTGATTATTAGAAACGTGTAAATTATCATATACAGTCTCAAGTTTTTATTTGATTGTGGTGAGTCGATACACAAACCATAAAATTAAAAATGCTATCAGTAGAAATCGTCTTCGTTGCCCAAATATCTGACGTAATAATTATTTACCACGCAAACAAGCCATGACATCGATTGTGCAATACATGAGGATGTGAATAATTAAGTACTAAGAACATAATAACATAGACTACTGTAAAACTTACGTTACATATATCGATCGTATATTAACAATTTCTTTACAGGCGTTTCGTAAAACTTGAAACAAGCGGATTAGCAAATTTGGAATCCCGAATTTTCAATTTTCATAAATCACATAATTTTATACTTTGCAACAACTAATTTGCGACATTTGGGTCTATTTGGTTTGTCCTCGCTTTCTATACAGCGAGGGAAATAATATTTCGTTAGTTTAATGAATTTTCTCATAGTCTATGGGTTTATAAATTCATCTGAATTAATGTATCTCAAACCAAAAATTGTTAAGCTGCTTTAGCTGCTAGATCGACTAAGTACCTAGTGTCAGTCGATAAGTCATTTTCTAGACAATCTTATAGGTTTTACCGGTAATAAATTAACCTGGTAGAATAGCAACTGTTATAAGAAACATAATCATGATCATGATTAAATATGATTCCTTACATGTAAAGAGATAAGAAAAAAATGAATAAAAAATAATAAGTGACTAGACAGAGGCTTAATAATGATTGTTTGTTTGGGGGTTATAACCGGCCTATTTGTTTTCATGCTATTCCTGAATGAAATTATGAAGAAAAAATCAACTTCCACAACTTCCGATATCCAACAGCCCAATTCCAAACGAGAAATAAAAAAGGACATTTCCGCATCAATATTTATTGCTTTGAATAATCAACAAGTAAGTGCCAATTCGTCGATAAAATGAACTCAGATTTTCCAGACTATTGATTGATTGATTTTCGTTAATTTCACTTCTTATTTGTTTTTATTAAAAAGTTGTCAGGAACATTAAGGAACGCATTTAAATATTGGTCGCGTTTCTTTGAAACTGTTAGATGTGTCTTTATATTTTTGCTTAATTACATAACTTTTCGGATAGGTGGATCAGTATCCGTGAAGCATTCTTCTGACGAAAATACACTCTCACTTTTAACCATTCCGTATGTAAATGATACATCAAAAAGATCAGACGAAAAAAATGTTATATCATCAAAAGTTGTTTTCGTATGAGGAGCAGCTTTAAGAAGTGCCTAAACAAAAATCAGATCCGGAACATCGAATAAATTAATAAATAAAAACCCAACCACAATTTTTCGCTTTCCACCATAAGAAGAATACATAAAAACTTAAAGAAGTTTTAAAAAACCCCACTAATTACCGGAGCTCGCGAAAATGCTCATTATCCAAATACGAATATTAAAGTTCATTAAAATCGATCTCAGCAACCCGCTCTTGACCTACTACATAAATATATCGGCGCTGAAAGAAAAGAGAGTCCGTTTGACTCATTACTATTATCACTATCATGGACCGGATCTGGATCGTTGGTTTTCTGATTTCGGAAATACAAATAATAATATTAAAAGTATCGATAAATTTAATGCATAAGCAGAGGAGTTCTCAAATAAAAAAAAAACAAAGACAGCAATAAACATTATACATGAAGTGACAGAAAAGCTACAAACACACAAAATTTACATCGCCATGTGAGAGGCGTATTTTGAAAATTCAATGTTCACCAGTTTTAAGCTTTTGAAAGAAATAAAACTTCTCTCATAGATATACCATTAGATTCAAAATATAAATAAATAAAATTAAGACATGTGCCTTCGTATACATTTTACTTACATGATAAAATGATTTTTGAGCTAAGTATATATTATCCACGACTTTACAGAAAGATCAGGCGTCCAAAATTGTAGGAATGCGTTGGCAGTTTTATGAAGAATACATCCGATGGATTCATTGATCAAAAGTTGT